TTCAGCCTCGTTTATTATGTATAATTTCGAGTAATTAATAAAGTTAGAGGGTCCGATACTTTTGTCCGGGTAGTGTACATAAACCAACTTGTATTTCGCTTTCTACAACATATGCTATTAAATGGGGGAAAAGATTGGAAAAAGCATTTATGTTAATTTTAGTCATAGTGTGCCGTCAAATAATAGCTGAACGGTAATACGATAAGCCATTAAGTAGGAACGAGTAAAACGTTTTGTTGTATTATAAAGAGCATATCATGTTTGTCTCGTCGTTAAATCAATAAGAATGCTATTCCAGATTTTTTTTTTCGAGCCGTACTTCACACCAGCAAGTCTTTTTATCAACAAAATACTTAAGAGAAAATAACCGCTCTGCGAAAAAGTCGGCGAAACGGAACAATTTGTTAAATCGGACGAGACAAGGGAAAGGAAGAACATTTGATTGACGAGACGAGAAAATCATTGGATCTTATCAGTAAAATTACCTGTCAATGTGCATATAAGTATTGGTGAACGATAAAGTCTACCACCCCGTTTTCGAACCCCTTATGTAGCAGGATAAACAATATTGGAAATGCTGGGATAGGTTTTAATGGTCTCGCTGGGGCGTTCATTCAGAGCGTGGATCAACTTTTTCACATTAACTCAAAGGTACGTAAAAGATCAACAAAACCTCGAAATGCTGGAGATGAAGGTGTACTTGAAAATTAGTTTGATAGTGATTAGCAATCTTGGAGGGAGGATAGTGAACTAAGAAGATCACTTCAAGCTCTCATTTGCTTTCTGTGTTAGCTAACAGTACCCGATTTTCCGTCTTTTTATCTATTGGGAAAGTCACAAGTCTAATTGCCTATTTTATGTGAAAACCCGCTTTTTTATTTAATATCTTGCTTATGTAGGATCTCAGATTGTAAAGGAAGCGAACATTGTGAGTAACTAAAAAAAATGCTTCATGGCAACAGTCGGTTTGAACGTTATAAGGGTTACGCAATTGAGCCGGAGGAGGAGGTCTTGTACGTCAAATGGGGTGGTGTTGAAACTGTTAAAACTCTGGCCTTGAAAAAAAGTTCATGTGAGAAAACTAATAGCTTTTCAAGAATACCAACAAGTCGTCATTCTTGACGTTGAATGAGTAATTAATTTATCCAGCTGCTTTTGGTTTCACTACTCTTATAAAGAATGCGAATGATAAAACCCGACTATTTGATTATGTTTAAATTGACTAGTAAATTTCGTATATATATATGTGTGGGACATTTGGTTACACGATCTTTATAATAGTTTTTTCCAAACATAGTTAACCTCATCGATATAGCTGATTTTGTATCAGATATCATTGTCATATGTTCAATAAGAGCTGAAGAAGAGCGAACCGAATATTGATTGGCAACCAAAATGAGTTTGTAGCGACAAAGATGGTATGTGACTCGTATGGCGATCCTATCATGCAAATTTCGGGAATTCGTGCCATCAACGGCATACTCCGCCTTTGCTGACATCTATTTTTACGCAACGGATGCTCCTTATCAAAGTTAGAAATCTGTTATCACGCCCACTGTGCGCTTGTGATTGTTCCCGTGGTCCATGATCGCCTATCTTATCTATGATTAAAAACTTTGATGATTATCATCATAGATAAATTATTTGGTGTAAGCCAGCCCGCATGTATTTAACTAGTCACTGTCCATTCGAGTTTCTAAGTTCCCGTCCAACCAACAAGGAAAATTTTTATAATCTAAACAAACCCTTTAAAAGCTTATTGTTTTTATTCAAACTATATACCAATAATATTTCTTAATTAATAGCATGGCAATCACTCTTCCCGATTTATGCCTTCATAGAATATTCGATTTCATCAGCTTTGACCAAGAGACACACGTATCTGCTCTTCACTCTTCAGTTTTAGTAAACCGTCACTGGTGTCGTTCTCTAATCTCTCTTCTCTGGAAAGACTCGTTCGGACTCGCAATTAATGCCACTGCAAGAAAACATCTCATCAAGTCATACATATCTTTTCTACCGGGCGATGAACAACAAACCTTCTATAACCTCATTACATGCAACAACCACCTACAATCAAACAATGCCAACGAACCCAGCTTTAATTACTTTGCATTCCTTCGGACATTCTCTGTGACTGCTCTAATGGAGGCAGTCAACCTGATAGCCGATGACAATTGGACTCCCATGAGTTATCGATACATTATGAAAACATTGAGTCGACAATTCATAGCTCAATCGCCAGTCATTCTCAACACGGAATTGTCGCTCGGAGGACTACATGCTCTTGAAAAGTGGGATGGTCAATTATGGATGTTACGAGGGTTGGACATTTTCGCACTGTCGGAAGCTGATAATAACTCGTTCAGAAATCTACGGACACTCAAATTGAACGGTAAATTCCTTCCGAACGTATTGGTGTCGGCTACAAAAGTTGCGAGAAATATCGAAGAGCTGGATGTGGGGTTTGATGGATTCGACGAAGAAGATGACATTGATAGATGGTTGCAACCATTGTCGCAGTTGATTGGAGCTCAAAGGAAATTGCGTTCCTTCTCACTTAATATTGGTCAATGCGACATCCGTGCTCTTGCACAGGTGTTTATTGCACTGCAGGGCAGCGCAAAGAGCTTGTTGTCTGTCAAGATGGTTAATATTGATTTTCAAGGGTATCCTATACTAGATGCTCTCTCGAAATGCAGCAATCTATCATCTTTGGTACTTGAGGCATGTGCAAACCTGCCCGAGACACTTGACATTAACGAATGTGCTGGTGATGCCTTTCATAAATTGAACAATTTAGAGTTGTCTCGCATGATGATTCCTTCATCTATGCTACAATCTCTTTTATCTCAATCCAGCGGTGCTATCAACACAATAATCTTCTCCGGTCTTATTCCTGGTGACTTTATGCTCACCAATTTCTTCGATCTACTTGCAACGTTCTGTCCTAATCTTCACAAATTGAGTGTGTTTGTTCGTCACGAATCCATTTACAATCTACTATCTCATCTTGGATCATGGCCTCAATTGGAGCAATTGGAAATCAATGGAGGAATTTGCATATCCAATGTGTATACTGAAGTGGACGATTTGATGCCTTTGTTTGGGAAGGCGGTTCCTTCTACATTGCAAAGGCTGGAGATAAGGATAAACTGGGAGTTTTCTCCTGACGCATTGAGGGGATTCTTTGAAAACTGTACTGCCGAATTGGAACATTTGAATTTAGAGTGGTGTAAGCTGAGCGATGAGCATATCGATCAAATAGTCAAACATTGTAATGGGAGGTTAAAGTATTTGAATATCGAGAATGCGGTCGATGTTACTTGGGACGGATACAAGAAGGCAATAGATAATATTAAAGTAGTCAGATTATCATCAAAAACGCGAACTATGTAATATTCTTTATATACCACCGTAAAAGGGTTTTTATTGTGGAGTGTACATAATATTTTGTTTCTCTTTTCTGTATATTATTACCAATATATTATGTTCCCTGTCTTCAATCAAAACGTGTTCGCTTTTATAATGTTCTGTTTCGTAGTTTTGTGCTATTCTGGTTCGAGACACAAGGTGGACCTTATCATGACAAGATAAAAAGAGCCCCATTTGTCATAAATAACTTGGTTATTTTGATGGGCTATGCATGCATGTCGAGCATATTACAGGTTGAAGTATTTATATGTGTCCAAATCTGTACCAATAAACGGATTGAGTAATCTTTTTTTGGACGCGTGTAACTAAGTTTGGCTTAGATGTTACACCAGCAGGATGAGGAATTTGAATTCTATCGCAAGACGAATCAAACCGAAGCGGACATGAGCCGTGGATTAGGTCGACGGGATAACAGATAGAAAGTTTTTGGGCATACATTAAAGACTTTGCCATGCATACAACAATAGGCAAAGATCAATATCGCAACAAAGTTTTAAGTTTCCTCATCTAACCGTCAATTTTTTTTGGATTTGATCGACAGAACAGGTCACAATGGTCGAACTTTCCATCAAAAATATATTTTGTACAATTTATGTGTAACGGCATTGATTTTAAAACTAAGCCTTAAACTGTGTGGGATGTACATTTTTATCAACTATGATTCTCTGAATACAGTGACTTGGACTCGCAGTTTCATCACATTCATGTCATAAGATCTCATTCACTCCTTCCGCTTTACCACC